CCTCTCATTAAAACGGATTAATTTATTATTTTTTGGGCGTTGCTTTGTCCCTCGGGAAGAGCCGGTGGCCGTGACCCCCCCTCCCCAAGCGCCCCCCCCTGAGTTACAGCCGCGCCGCCCCCGGCACGGCACCGAAACACTTAAAAAAACCCAAAAAACACCCCTAAAAAAACCCCAAAACCCCCACTGCGGCCGGGATGGGGGGAAGGATTCCCCAAAACCTCCATCCCAGTTGGGTTTGGGGAATGGGGGGATCCCCCAAAACCTTCGTTCCAGTTTGGGGAATGGGGGGATCCCCCAAAACCTCCATCCCAGTTGGGTGCAGGGGATGGAGGGTTGGAGGGGATTCCCCAAAACCTCCGTTCCAGTTGGGTTTGGGGAATGGGGGGATCCCCCAAAACCTCCATCCCAGTTGGGTTCAGGGGATGGAGGGTGGCAGGGGATCCCCCAAAACCTCCATCCCAGTTGGGTTCAGGGGATGGAGGGGATCCCCAAAACCTCCATCGGAGTTGGGGTCAGGGGATGGAGGGTTGGAGGGGATCCCCCGAAACCTCCATCCCAGTTGGTTTGGGGAATGGGGGGGATCCCCCAAAACCTTCGTTCCAGTTTGGGGAATGGGGGGATCCCCCAAAATCTCCATCCCAGTTGGGTTGGAGGGGATCCCCCAAAACCTCTGTTCCAGTTGGGTTTGGGAGATGGGGATCCCCCAAAACCTTTGTTCCAGTTAGGTTCAGTGGGATGGAGGGTTGGAGGGGATCCCCCAAAACCTCCATCCCAGTTGGGTTTGGGAGATGGGGATCCCCCAAAACTTTTGTTCCAGTTTGGGGAATGGAGGGATCCCCCAAAACCTCCATCCCAGTTGCGTTTGGGTGATGGGGGAGAGGATTCTCCAAAACCTCTATCCCAGTTGCATTTGGGAGATGGGGATCCCCCAAAACCTCTGTTCCAGTTGGGTTTGAGGGATGGAGGGTTGGACGGGATCCCTCAAAACCTCCATCCCAGTTGTGTTTGGGTGATGGGGGGAGGATCCCCCAAAACCTCCATCCCAGTTGGGTTTGGGAGATGGAGGGTTGGAGGGGATCCCCCAAAACCTCCATCCCAGTTGCGTTTGGGAGATAGAGGGTTGGAGGGGATCCCCAGAAACCTCCATCCCAGTTGGTTTGGGGAATAGGGGGGTCCCCTGAAACCTCCATCCCAGTTGCATTTGGGAGATGGGGATCCCCAAAACCTCCATCCCAGTTGCATTTGGGAGATGAGGATCCCCCAAAACCTCTGTTCCAGTTGGGTTTGGGGGATAAAGGGGGACCCCTTCCCAGTTCAGGGCTGGGTGAGCTGGATGCCGAAGACGTCGGGGTGGCGGTGCCGGTGGAGACAGGTGGCTTCGGAAGACCCTTCGGCGTCGCGCACGTTGTACTCCCCCTTCTTACACGCCGTGGTCTTCAGGTAGTAACCCCCGGCGGCCACCAAACCCACTGCTGTCACGGCCCCCAAGGAGCCCAATGAGGCCACCAGGGCCAACCGACTCTCTGTGGGGCCAGAAGGTGCTGGTGACACCATGGTGGTGGCCACGGCCCCCAAGGAGCCCAACGAGGCCACCAGGGTCAACCTAGACTATATTGGGCCAGAAGGTGCCGGTGACACCACGGTGGTGGCCACGGCCCTGAAGGAGCCCAACGAGGCCACCAGGGCCAACCCACTCTCTGTTGGGCCAGAAGGTGCCGGTGACACCACGGTGGTGGCCACGGCCCCCAAGGAGCCCAGCGAGGCCACCAGGGCCAACCCACTCTCTGTTGGGCCAGAAGGTGCCGGTGACACCACGGTGGTGGCCACGGCCCCCAAGGAGCCCAACGAGGCCACCAGGGCCAGAAGGTGCCGGTGACACCACAGTGGTGGCCACGGCCCCCAAGGAGCCCAACGAGGCCACCAGGGCCAACCGACTCTCTGTGGGGCCAGAAGGTGCCGGTGACACCACGGTGGTGGCCACGGCCCCCAAGGAGCCCAACGAGGCCACCAGGGCCAGAAGGTGCCGGTGCCACCACAGTGGTGGCCACGGCCCCCAAGGAGCCCAACGAGGCCACCAGGCCCAACCGACTCTCTTTTGGGCCAGAAGGTGCTGGTGACACCACGGTGGTGGCCACGACCGCCCCCCAACTTCATTTTACCACCAACCCCCCCATCCCCTCCTTCCATATTCTCCATCCTTGGATATCTCACCGTCCACGTGGACCACCACGCTGCCGGCTCGCCGGCCGTGCCTGTTGGTGGCCGTGCAGGTGTAGAGGCCCCGGTTGACGGCGGCGGCGCCGGCCACGGCCACCGAGCGGTTGTCGGGGGCCAGGCGGAGGTTGGGGGCGGGG